CTGGGGCCCCCCACCCCCCCCCCGGCCCCCCCCCCCCCCGGCTCTGGCCACTACTCTCTGCGTCCTAAGTGAGTGGGGCTGGGTGGGAGTCTGAGTGGCGGGAAGGTGCTGGAGGCACTGTCATGTGTATTGTTTCCTCTTTGAAGAAAGATCAAAGCAGGAGTGAGAAGACCCCCCTGCCCCATGGAGGGCGGCCTCTGCGGAAGTTGTAACAAAGCCCCCAGTCCCTCCCTGGCCTCTTCCCAGGGAGCAGGTGTCCATGGGTGCGAGTGGTGGACCCCAATGGCCGGGATGGGGCGCCCCTCACAGCAGGAGTCTGTGCCCCCAGGTGGGCCCCAAATCTGGTGGGGACATGGGGCCAGCCTTTAGTAAGGCTACTCTGGGGCGTGGAGTGAGACAGAATGGCCCAGGGAGCTGACCAAGGCCCCCCTGGGGAACTGGCAAGGGGAGCATTAGAAGACAGAGGCCTCAGAAGGTCTACCCTCACCCCCAGGGATGTGAGGGGCACGGAGTGTCATGTGACACCCCCACCTCACAGACAGGGCATGGGGACACTTGCTGAGGACCAGGCCCTTGGTGCTAGCTAGGGGTGTGGGGCGGGCGGTGACCCCAGGGCTCCTGGGACCACCTGGACTTTCCCCCAGAACAGAGTGACGCCATCTACTGGTCAGTAATGGTCACTGCATGGAGGGCGGGTGACCCTCTGCAAGAGATGGACCCTGGGACCATATTCACCAGGGGAGCAAATGGCATGAGATGGTAGAAACGCAAGTACCCTGCTCAGGAGCCCTGAGGGGCAGGGTGGAGGCTGCTGCCTTGTGCTAGACGCCCTGTTCCCTCTGTTGGGCATGGCTTCTGCCTCTCCCTGGCTGGTGACAGTCCCCGATGTGTCCACGTGTGGACCACAGCTGCTGATGGACTGACAGCGAGGGGTCCCCTCCCGGTGCCTCCCCTCTTCCATTATCCCCTCCCCTCCTCTGGCACCCCTAGCCCTGCCCACCTGGGAGAAGGTTGCTCATCTGCAGAGCAACGACCAAGGTGCCTGAGATGGAAGGGACAGCCTGATTTGACCTTGGCCTTGGAGCCCCTCGAGGGTCAGCCAGCTTTCTCTCCCTTGTCGGGAGCAGAGTCCCTGGACAGCCGTCTGCCAGCCCCTGAGTGCGAAGCGGGTGCTGGCCTGTGCCTGGCAGAGGGTTTGCTCCTAAGATGAATGTGGGAGGGGAGCTCTTGTCTGCTGGAGGTCAGGTGGTTCCAAACAGGCTGCCCAGAGTGAGACCTAGTATGCGGGCATCAAGTTCAGATTCCAGGCCCACCCTCCGGCTTCCCTGGAGGGGCATCTCCGAGGCAGGGGAGGGACTCTGCAGACTCCTGGGGCTCTGCAGGTGATTCTGGGCTCGGCGGGGGCTGCCTGGGGTCTTCCCCTCTCCCTCCTTCCCTCCTCAGATGACTTCAGCTTCAGCTGTTTTTAAATGACCTGCCACCTCCCACCACCCCATCAGGTACGGGAGGTTCTGGGTCTTGGGTGATGGTGGAGGCTTTCACACAGCATGTGGCTGCTTTGGGTCTGGTCCCAGCTCTGTCGCTTACATCTGCATGACCGCCCTCCCCCCCACCCCATGGCATCCCTTTGCCCTCTTAGCCTTTTGAGCTGGATGCAAATGAAAGCTAGAATTCATCAATTACGGCTTTGCATTTTATAGGCTTTTAGCATTTAGGAAACTCAGACTTTTAATCTTATCTTTGCAAAAACCCTGTCAAGATAGAAATCAGGAATCCTCTCCCTCCACCCATTTTGCTGGCAAGGAAATTGAGAGAAAAACAATTAGACAGCTGTCCCCAGGGCACAAAGCCTGGTCCGGCAGGGCTAGCGGAAGAGCTCAGACTCAGCCGGGTCTCTGGACCCCCAGCCTGGCTCCGTGTGTCCCCTTAGAGCTGACCCTGCTCCCCTGCAGACATCTGGGACCTGTGAGGATGTCACTTGATCATAACACCCAGAAAACACATCCCTTGTCACTGTCCCCCATCCCATCATTTGGGTCTCGCTTACCAGTTGCTCCTAAGATGAGCCTTTTCCATCGTCAGATCCAGACAGTGTCAGTGTCTCTTCAGCCTGGATTCGGCTTCCTGCACTCTGGTTCTCAGCCTCGGAAAAGACCTTACTTCTGAGTTTGCTTTGTTCACGCGATTCTAGGTGTCCAGAGACAGGGCATCTCCCTGCCTGGCCCCCCTTGCTGTCCCAGCACCCAGGACATGGCCTGGCCCTCAACGCGGATGGGCGGCAGGGGGCGGGGGTGCCTTCCCTGTGCTGCACAGTTGGGGGGGCGGGTCCCGTGCCCCACCCCCCAGGCACAGTCCCCGTGCTGCTTTCATCATTAAAGTACTTGGGGAGCCCTTCTCTGTGCCCGGACCACTGCTAAGCCCTGGCCCTGCCTCCCTGTGCCCTGGGCCCTGGGGTGAGCTGGTGCCCAGGCCAGAGGCCTGGGGAGTCACTGGCTCTGTATCGGCGCCCCATCCCGGGTGGCTCTTCCTGTCTTGGGTTGTCCGAGAGGCTGAGCACAGCCACAGGCTCCCCTGTTGCTCCCCCAACAGGGGGTTCTAGAAGCGGGCACAGAGCAGGGCTGCCTTGCAGCTGCCCGCAGCCAGGATCACACCTTCTTGGCCTCAATGCTGCCTTGAAGCGTGACTCTTTCCAGTCTGGGTTGGGCTTGTGGTGATGACGGTGCTTTGTGACCTTGATAATTTGAAGTACCTTTCCCACAGAAATCATTTCTTCCTGCTCTGCCCCAGAAAGGGCACGTTGGATCTGCGAGCCCAGCTACAGAAAAATAGGATGGGAACATTCATTGGGGGACATTGTGACTTTCTTGGGTTGCCTTTTTAAACACTGAAAGGGTGAGATTATAAACCTGCCAGGAGCTAGGTCCCCACCAGGCCCTCCAGCCCCTCTCCCCACACTCCCCCCTCCCCCTCCCCCCTGGAGCCCAAAGCCCACTCCCCCCAAGGCTGCGGAGCACTTTGACCTCCTCCAGATCCAGCCAGGTCAGCTGCTTGCGGAGAACCTTCCCACAGAGACGGATGTGGTGGGGAGACCACGCTGAGGGGGCTGTGAGCTCAGCGGGGACCCCACTGAGCAGGTTGTCACCTGAGAACGAAGGTGCAGCTTCACTGACACGACCCCAGGCCAACACTCGATTTGGGGCAGGTTTCTACACTTACTCTCTGAAATGTTCCTTCTCTTGAAACCTCAGGAGAAGATATGTATCTGGGGTGCCTGCAGGAAACCTGTACGTTATGCTTTCACTCGAACAAACCAGCTCCGTGGGCCGGAGGTGGGGGAGAGGGAGGGTCCTGGAGGGGAGGGATGGGGTGGCAGGTGATCCTCAGGCCCCAGGTTGGGACCCCATTGCTGCACAGGAAGGTGGAAGGAGGGCTGCTCAGATGCCCACCGCACAGGACGTGGGTGTGTCTGGGAGCAGAGGTGAGGCTCTGTCCAGGACACACAGGAGGGGCAGCGGGAAGTGCAAGAGGATGAAGAAAGGTATGAAATAGCCGTGCACAGAGTGGGAGGGAGTGCTTCCCAGAGGAGCCCGTTAAGGTTGCCAAGGAGTTCTGAGGGCATCCAGGGCCATGAATTTGTAATGGAACCACTTTGGCTTGCTGGGGACTTTTTCCAGCCAGAGGAAGCCTGGGTAAGAGTTTTTGCTAAATCTCCAGGGCAGGCAGACAGGTTGTGAGTGAGGAAGCTGAGGGCTCGGGGCAGGTGGTGTTGAACTGGTGGATGGTGCCGTCTACTCTGGGTGAGTGGGTGGTGTCAGAAACAGTGGTTGAAGGTGAGACTGCAGAATGCTGGCGGAGGGGAGGGTTAGGAGGGGACTGCTGGCCCTGAGGGCTTGGGGATGCAGCATAGCCAGCCCTGTGGACACTGGCATGGCTCTGGGTGGCCTAGCTCAGGAAGGAGGGGAGCCTGAGAGCCAGGGCCATGGTCCCCAAAAGAAGGGCTCTGGCTGGAGGTGGGCAGTGAGAGGGAAGAGGCAGGGAAGTGAAAAACGTGGTCGTGGGCCTGCGAGCAGGGCTGAGGAATGGCCTCCAGGTTGGCAGACTGTGGACTCGGGACCACATCCTTTGGCCACCAGTTGCATGTGTGAAGCTTGGCTGGGGTGCAGCAGGCTTGCTCACACACACGCTGCCTGGGCCTGCTTTGGTGCTCCAGATGCTGAGGTGACTAGTTGCAAAGAGATAGCAAAGCCTAAGATTTTTGTCATCTGGCCTTTTGCAGAAAAGATTTACTGGCTCCTACCTAGAGGGGCCTGTCCAGGAGACAGGAGCCACTAGCCACGTGTGGCTATTGACATGTCACCTAATTAGGATTGCATACAAATTTTTAAATTCAGTTCCTCTGTTGCACTAGCCAACGTTTAAGTTCTCAAAAGCCACATGAGGCCACTGGTTCCAGTGTTAAACAGCTCAGAGATGGTATGTTCTGGATCATGCTGTTGGCACCTCAGGTCTCAAGACAGCCGATGGAACAGGGACCACGTCACCCAGCCTGGACCTGGGGTGCATGGCATGGGAGGAGCCAGACAGGCCTTATGAGGGGTCTGCAAGCTCGCGGGAGCCCCAGGGCACAGCACTGGAGCGCGGTGGGCAGTTCCCATTACCGTCCCGAGTCGCTGAGGGTTCTGGGGCAGGCATGGAAATGTTGGGGAAAGGGCGCCTCTGGGATTGCAGCACACGGCTGTCCCCTCGGAGGCCCAGGTGCCTTAAGTGACAGCTGCCTGGCCCCGGAGTTATCCTCCTGACACCATGGGTGCAGGGTTTCCTGGCCGGGTGTCGATCTGTGCAGTTACTTGTACGGTGCGCTGTCGGTAACGGGGGCAGGAGCCCCGCCCCCCCCTACACACTGCCTGCAGACGGGACAACCATTCAGCCTCCTCCTGTGTGGCCCTGGGCCCTGCTGCCTTGCCTTTGTCGTCCAGGGCTGAGAACTGTGCCCCCTTCAGTTCCAGGGCCCTGTGAGCCAGAAGACCTCATCGATGGGATCATCTTTGCTGCCAATTACCTGGGCTCCACCCAGCTGCTCTCGGAGCGGAACCCATCCAAAAACATCAGAATGATGCAGGCACAGGAGGCCGTCAGCCGGGTCAAGGTAGGGGCAGCCCAGGAGCGCCCGGGTTCCCTGCAGGGAGCACTGGAGCGGGATGGGTGACAGGGCCCGCTGTCCAGCGCTGACCCCACAGCCCTGTGCGCGAGAGTGGGAATGTCTGAGGTGCCTGTCAGGGCCGAGGGAGAGTTTGCCTTGGATGAGAGGACGCGGGCTGGGGACAGAGAGGATCCATAATGAGGAACTGCCACTGGGCCCCCAGGACACGTGATTTTTAAAATGTAATTGTTCCGAAGCATTCTAGTCACGTGTTTGTATAGAGCATCTCATCCCATTTTGACCGTCTCTGTATCTTTAGTGCCAAAGTACTGGCAGAAAGGGAAGCAAAAAAAATCATACGTTTTATTTAAACCTATGACCTCAAGAAAAACTCTGACGCACTTGCAGCTCTCGGTGCCCGTCATTCGGATCACCTGGGTTTGAAGGGTGGGTGCAGCCGGGCAGGGGGAGGATAGGACCAAGTCAGCAAAGCTGATGGGGTCAGGAGGGAGGGGCAGTGTTCTGAGGAGGTGCCACTCTGGGCAGTCGGGGGTCTCCCTGCGGGGTGAGGAAGGATGTCAGCCCCCCCCCCCCCCTCCCC